GGGGGGGGGGGGGGGGGAACGAACAAAAGTAAATCTGGAGAGGACCTGAATCTGATTTAACATGTTGAAAAGTAAATCTAGAGAGGACCTGAATCTGATTAACAGGTTGAAAAGTAAATCTAGAGAGGACCTGAATCTGATTTAACAGTTTGAAAAGTAAATGTTGAGAGGACCTGAATCTGATTTAACAGTTTGAAAAGTAAATCTAGAGAGGACCTGAATCTGATTTAACAGTTTAAAAAGTAAATCTAGAGAGGACCTGAATCTCATTTAACATTTTGAAAAGTAAATCTAGAGAGGACCTGCATCTGATTTAACAGTTTGAAAAATAAATCTAGAGAGGACCAGAATCTGATCTTATCTTTCTGATTTATCCGATTTAACAGGTTGATAATCAACGTTTGTAAAATTGCAAGAACAAAATCCAGCACTATTTTTCAACATTTACTAATTATTTGTTGTTCAATCTGAAGAAAAAACGATTAATTGAAAAATATTGTTTATTCGTTCGATTAAAAAAATACTTTTGTTTCAAAAGAAAATATATTTTTAAACTTTAATTTATATTCTTTATCAGCAAAACAGCTCTAATTAAATAATCGATTTGAAATACTCTTAAAATATATTTTTGTTTTAACTTTTGATTTTTGTAGGCTGCAGTTTGTTTACATGAATGTAAACGTCAGAAATCAATTATGTAATGTAACCTCCACCCCCTACCTCATCCTAAGAGGTTGGGTAGACCCCCCTCCTCCGCCTTATCTAGATACTCTAGCTTGCCAAACACGATAAGGAGTCTTGATGAAGGAGGAGAAGAGAGCGGTCGATCACAGCTCCAGTAGCTCCGAGAGGAGAATTAGCTCCATCTATGATTCCAGGATTAACTTCGGTTGATCCTCAGTTTGTATTTTAATAATAATGTAAAATAAATGTCTGTGCAAAGTTAGTGCTTTAATCGATTCCATCTGGCTTGTTATATTGAGTTTCTCTTTGTAAAGTTGCCTTTATTCAGTTCTTTATACTTGAGTTTCTATTAAGTTTATAGTAAACTTTGTTCCTTTTCCTTGTTCCTTTTAGATACCAACGAAAGCAAAAATACAATTTGCACACATTAAACCAACAAAATATTAAGAAAATTTGGAACCTGATAGTTTTCTAAAGTTTTTATGGATTTATAAAACAAAAAACTTTTCCATTACCCAGGCCTTTGGAAAGATTTCTTCAGCGCAAAATTTTTGTGCACTTTTAGTAGAAAGCAACTTTGTGTCGCCCAATGTAATTTTTGAGAAAAACAGCATATTGTGTTTTATTTGAAAACATCTTTTTTTCTCATAAATGCCAAGATTTTAAAGTTGTGTAATATCTCAATAACAAAAATTTGGTGTTCAAAGAATGTTAAATTGTTGCACAAATTATAATTTCCTGCTTTTTGTACTTGTCCACCGTCTACTTTTTTCCATTTTGATTTGATTTTGATAAAGCTAAACATTAGCTTTATTCACATTATCAAATCCATTATAAGGTAAAATGGGTCTGTTTAAGCTGTACAATTGCTGTGCCTCTTGTTCATTGAACTATTTAAAGTCATATCTTGAAACTAAAAGTCGACTTCCTATTCCAGAGTTTTCTGGTCATCACTGTATTTAAAACGATGCAAAACTTTGAAAACTATGTAAAACTATGTAAGACTATGTAAAACAATATGAACCTATGTAAAATTATGTAAATCTAGGGTATCCCTCTAAATAAAGAATGAAAGATGACTGAAAGTATAGTTAACAGTTGAAAACAAAAGGCTACTGTTTGTTAAATTAATGCAAGCAACCAAATTGTTGACCTGGCTAAAACAAAATTCCAAACATGTCCAGTCTCAACTATGTTCCGGCAATTTTTTTCTAATGCACAGGGTACCCCCACAAAGGATGAGACTGTAAAGACGACTCAAAAATCTTTAAATATCAAGATTTGAAGCTTTATTTTTGGTTTCTGCCTTTAATTGAGTAATTTGATCATATACTAAATGGCCGGTTTTTGAAAAACACCCCCCACCCCATCCCATCCGTTTTAGGGTTAATACACTACATTTTTAAACAATTTTTAAAACAATACAATTTTTATTTCAATTTTGTCAATTATTTTAGCTTTCCATGTTTTACATGTTTCGTTTCTTCTCTTTTAGTTCCTCTAGGTAGCAGAGATCTAATCCAAGATATGCAAGCACATCACAGATACAGTTTCCACAGTTCGAGGCCCCAAGGACATCCTAGATATAAAGATATTTAAACAGGTTCAATTAAACAAATTCCTACTTTTAACAGCCAAGACGATTAAAAAAGAGGGCATTTGCTTTGTTAAAAAATCGTTTTTTCTTTTTTTTTCAAAATCTTTTTAATTCATGGTTTTCTTCAAAAATGTAAGCGATATAAAGACAAAATTAAATTCACCCCTGACCCATTTTTTAGTGCCCTCTTGGCATTTATCATGCATTTTCCTAAAACCTGGCATTCATAAAACTTAAACTCTTGTTTTTTTAAATTTCAAATTAAGGCAGATCCACTGTATTTTCTACCTGGATGCACCCAACAATATCAAAGGTCAGTCCACAGTCAAACAGAGCTCCAGAGATCTCTCCAACACAGCCGAGGATCTCGTCGTTTGAGCAGTAAGGGACAGGGTGATCCTTGGTGTTCAATTTCCTAAACACAATTGATAGATCCAACCGGTCTAAAATATTTGACCCAATATCCCCTTATTTATATTCATTATTTGCTTGTCTTTAACTACAAGATGCGCGAGCTCTCACGTAAAAATATTTTACCAATTACTCCTTTTAAATGGATCAGTAACATTTTAGCCTAGTACTCATTCGCCTAGTATATAAAACCTAGAAACAAGCACAATAATGATTTTTAAAGACCACACACAAGTATCTGTATCAGATTGGACTTTTTATTGTGGCAACTAAAATGACCCCAAAAATTGTGTATGGGCATCAAAAATTGACAATTTAGACTGAAAAAAATGTTGACATTTATTATTTAAAAAATGCATCAATTTAAACAGAAAATTCTGAAATTAATTTGAAGAGTTAAGAATAAAAGGCTTTATACTATATGTTCTATAGTAAAAATGTAAGTTAAGGAATTGAGTCTTTGCCACAAACTCTGATTTTCCAATCTCCATATCTTTTAAACCCAATGTCGTGGACCTAAGATATTTCAAACTATGAATTCTTCTGGGCCAAAAAACTTAAGGTTTTCGCCATCAGGTTAACAAGTTATAGGGATGGGAAAATCAGAGTTTAGACTCAATTCCTTACATTAACAATATGCATAAATTCTTTAATCTATTCTGCCTGAATCAAAACATAAAAAGCACTTTGATAGTTTGGATTGCTAGAGAAAAAAATCTATAAAAGAAATTTCTTTTTTTTAATTGACCTGTTTTTGAATATTTTAAAATGCTCTTTTATTAGTGCAAAGATGACAATGCCTGATTTAGAATGGTATCCTTGAAACCTTTGTTTAAATAGAGATATCTGTGTGTTTACTTATCGAAAACCGCTTGTATTCTTACAAATTTCGTTGTGATTCGGTGAAGGCCCTCTTTAAATAAAAGTTCACTTGAAATTACGCTTACAGTCCCTTTAAGCTAAGATTTTACTTGAATTTTGCTGCTTCAGTGAAGACAATACAAGCGACCAGAAGAACAATGGTGAGTTTTCCAATCATGTTGAATATATGGAGAATTGATGAATAAGATTAAAATAAATCTCATATATATACAAAAATTCTTATCTTTAGAACATTTCAAACGAAGTAAAACAAATACATATCTATCAATTTCAAGGTTTTTTTTGAGTCAACAATTGGGAATTATAATTTCATAAAAAAGAAAAAAGTATACAAAAAGAGGTTCAAGTTTATAATGTGCTGCTTTTAACGGCTTTGCTTATAATTTAGAGATTCCCAACGTACAAAAGTCGACATTACCTCAACTTTTAACACCCAGAAGTCGACTTTAACTCGATAATTTAATCGACTTAAACACTTTAACTCGATAATTTAAGTCGACTTAAACTTGTAAATAACTGTTCCAAAATTCGACTTAAAGCTGAGACCACCTTTGGACAAGATTTTATACCATTTTTGGACGAGATTTTTCAAGTCGAGAAAGTGTCGACTTTTAAAGTTGACTTAAATTCGTACTAAGTCGTTCCACAACTCGACTTTAAGCTAAGATTTTATTCCACTTTTGGCTTTTAAACATCCCACTTTGTTTTTTTTTCAACCATTCAAAAAAATTGATTTCGTTCGTTCTCAAAATTATCGTTCATTTTCCATCTATTTCGATAGTTTTCTCACTGAACGATTGTTGTTGTTCATCCTCCGAAATACAATAAATTCATAAAACTCATATTAATTATCCGTATTTTAAAGAATTTTTCTTCAGCAAACCAGCAAGAAAATCCACTTTGAAATTCACTTGTTCTTCTTAAAGGGACTGTAAAGGAAAAATGAAAGGGGGAATAGGCTGAAATCTAATCACTTTAGCTCTCGATCGCGACTCATGCATGAAAGTTATATCTGATGTTCCTATCTCGAGAAATTGATATAAAACTGTGTTAAAATTATACGAACATTAATATATATACAATTTTGTATAAAAGTAGTGGGTTTAGATAGATCAAATTCAGCAAATAAGCAACCAATCTGAAAACGATGATATCCCAGAGAAAGCTAATTTTGTAACTTACGTTTACTCCAATTCTAATTTTATATTTGTTATTTCTATTTTTAATAGATTTAATTCATAATATTATTTATAAGTCCGTATTACTTGACCAAAAATTCCACCAATGGCAGTGAAGTAAAGTGGTCACGTGATACAGGCGGAGACACGTGACCAGTATACTGCTCGCCATTGGTGATAGTTCTGGTCACGTGATTTAATTTTAAGGTTTTCTAAATTTTACATATATGAACTTTCGTATAATTTTAACACAGTTTTATATCAATTTCTCGAGACAGGAACATCAGATAAAACTTTCATGGGTCGCGATCAAGAGCTACAGGGATTAGCTTTCAGCTTATACCCCCTTTCATTTTTCCTTTACAGTCCCTTTAAGAAGAGGACTCCTTTTATTCGCTGAAAATAGAGAATTCTGCTCACTGTGGAATTGACCAAAGGAGAGCCTTACAGATGTGTGTTTTGCAGAAAATCATCCTGTTACAACAATAAATTGATAAAATTCATATTTATTATCGGTATTTTACAGATTTTTTTGTCATGAAGTAAAATATGCCACACTCTCAACTTGTGGTGTCAACCAACTAAAATTAATTCTCCCGAATTTCTTTTAAAAGTCCACAGTTACACCTCAAGCGGAGTTCTCTATTTTCCACTGAAAATGCATCATACTCCTAAATTCCTCCGCTTGTGGAGTCTACCAACAGAAAAACTTCTTTGGAATTCTTTTTGAAGAGAACTTGTCAGTCAATACTCCTTAAATGATTCTCCTTATGACCTCCATTTGGGGTGGCAATATGTGGCCGCCAGAAAAAAATCACAATATTCAGTAATTCTGTAATATTACTTTATGAGGGTGCCTTGTAAACACAATTCATGAATATATTTTTTAACTAATTCAAGCATAATTATTTTTCTAAAAGTGTACTTCCAAATTTTATCTCGAAGAAAAATATATTTAAACATCGAAGAAAGTCTGTATCATTCATATACAGGGTTACCTAAAAAGGATGAGATCATGAGATGAAATAGCAAAATTTATACTGTCTGTTTTCTTGTATTCATCATTTAATAAGCAATTAAAATACTATATTCAGGCTAGAACCCTTAATTTGACATCATCGTCATATTTTAAGAGATTGAGGTCGTCTTTACATTCTCGTCATTAGAAGGTAACCCTGAAATTTCATATTATAAAGCTATTCGCACATATTTAGACTAAAAATATTTTATATATTTCACGGCAACGCCCGGCACTTTAGCTAGTTTATAAATAAGCAACAATTCAAAAATGCTTTTTTACTTTAAATTTTGAAAAGTAAAAAGTTTAATTGTTTAAACAGAAATGTTTTCAAATTGCGTTGTAAATTATAAAACATTTGTTGACTTTAAACATGTTTTTATAACGATAAAAAAGTTTAAATTGATAAGAAAAACTATAGGCAACTACAATAATAAAAACAGATTTACATCAGAGAGAATTAGGTACAACTATCTTTATGCTAATTCAAGTTAAATATAAAGGGGTTTGGCATGTTTCAATCTTCTGCATCATTACCAAAATTCGTTCAATTTTTTTTTGTGGGCGATGCAACATTTAAAGTCTTAAAAATTTAAAAGTTTATTGTTGCGCCCAAGAAGACATTCGCTGATTCGCTCAATATCTTATTTCTTCCCAATACAGGGTTGTCCACAAAGTATGAGACTGTAAAGACGACCTGAAACTTTTATGACATGACAATCTTAAGGTTAATTTAGCCTTGTGCCTTGAATATAGTCTTTTATTATCTTATTTAATAATAAGCCAAAGAAAGACACAAGTTCAAAGTTGCCGATAATTGTGAATATCAGAAAACAGAATGTATTTATTCCGTACAGTCGTCTCTGAAGTCTCATCCATTTAGGGTAACCATGCATTATTGTAAATATATGTTAAAAACAAACATTGAATTTTCATCCTACGCAATCTTCAGAATATATAAATATAATAAAATAAAATAAGTCTTCAAAACATAATTTGAAGTTTCCGTACCACATATTAGCTTTTTTCTCTTCCGGCAGCCATGAGCCGCCACTATTTCCCCTTCCGTACCACCACTTGACTCGATTCCGGACAAAACTACTTTTTTTATGGTATTAGGGCCTTTAAAGTGTGATTTTAAAAAATCCAGCCGCGTCACTCAATACATATATATTTATAGATCTTACTATTTCAGTTTTAATATGTATAATAAGGATGATTTCTCTTATAATGTAAACTGTAAAACTAAATTCTGATTTTCGTATTGTGGGAGCTGAAACAAATTGTTCAGGTTAGTCTCACACAAGCTGGTTCCCTTCAAAACTGAGGTTTATTTTATGGTGCATCATTTTTAAAATTGATATTGCTCTTAAAAATAAGCCATTTTTTGTGAAAATCAGAATCTAGATTTGCAAAAAAAAGATTTTACAGTTTACATTAATCTGTTAAATCAGATTCAGGTCCTCTCTAGATTTACTTTTCAAACTGTTAACATATTAACACTGAAATATTAAGATCTAAATATATATGTATTGAGTGACGCGGCTGGATTTTGTTAAATCACACTTTAAGGGCCCTAAATATACCATTTAAAAAAGTATTTTTGCCCGGAAGAGTCAAATGTGGTGGTACGGAAGGGGAAATAGTGGTGGCTCATGGCTGTCGGAAGAGAAAAAAGCTAATATGTGGTACGGAGGGGGGAAATAGTGGTGGCTCATGGTCGCCTGCCTTCCCCCGCTCACCAGGGAGGGGATGAAGGGAAGGGAAAATTCCGATAAGATCATTAATTATATATATTTTAAAGATGTTTTATTTTTTTACTTCACATAAATAATATACCCTATATCCCATGAGAAAGTAAAAAAGCTTATAATATGGGCATAGAGAATAGAATATATAGAGAGGAATTAAAAGAATCTCTCGGTATGAATATTATTGGTTTCTATATTTATAATTCAATGCAATGAATATTTTTGTCTACAAAACTATGAAAAAAGGTTATAAATATACAAATAAAAACTACATATTGTACTGCTCTGCATTACTCCAAATGTTTACTTGTCATACAATGCTGTCAAGTTCGTCATAAATATATTAAATGAGACTTGGTCGTATGTTTGTAGGACATTCTTGCAGCAATAAATGTTGCCAACCCGAAGCGAGTTTTCTATGATTCAAATCAAAAAATATTTTTATCATTTTGACCTTTTGTCGTTTGACCCTTTGTCGCACTTTTGACCCTTTTTCGTTTGACCCTTTGTCGTTTGATCCTGTGTCGTTTGACCCTTTTTCGGTGAATCCACATTCCTGATTTAAAATGCGTTCCCAACTTAGAACGCGTTCTTGATAATAATAACGTGTTAACGATTATAACCGTTCTTTTCAAGCAATTCCCGTTCCGTTCTTTTACTGATCGTTCGAATATTCTTAAGAACGCATTTTAAGCATTCGTTTTTTTTCGGAACGAATTGATCGTTCATGATTTTTCCGTTCATTCTCGGGAAAGAACGATCTTTCCACCAGGAACGCGCCCAGCCCTAGCTACGTTCTTCGGTATGAGTAGTTTTTAAAAATTTTCTCTTGATAGACGCAACAGATAGAAGTAAGATTAGTAGCGATTGAAAGCACTTATTTTTCGCCGTAAGCCTATACCTCCTTTCATTTTTCGCGAACACTTCCTTAAACACCACACAAAGATTCAGACATCTATATAAAAACTATGCATCAATTTTTGATTTTCAATTCTATTCTAAATTCTATTTTATTAGTTTTGGTCCCGCAATTTGAAGTTTTTGTAACTAGAAGTTACTAATTGAGAGTAGCATTATCATAATTTTTTTATTTAAATTTTTGAATAAACCTTCAGTGCGGAAACTATCAATTTTGGTCAATTTGCTAAAAAATATCATGTTTTGCGTAAAATTTACGTTTTGGACAATGCTACCAGCTTTGCGCTAAATGTGCAGAAAATTGCGCAAAACTAATTGCGCTTCATGCTCAAAAATTCGCAAAAAATTGCGCAAAAAATATGGTAATTTTTTGGAAATCCTAATTTATTTGGCAACCTTATTTTAGAAATATTTTTTATACAACAACATAGCCTTGTTCCAGACATTTCCAACATGTCTTTCAATTGATTTCTGTATTGCAGAGATATGAATTTAACAACTTTGATTTTTTTTAAGTTTTCCTTTAATAAAAGTACTTTTTTTGACAACATAGAAAAAATAAATCACGCAAAATGCAATGATTTTAATCTTAAAATGATCGAAAATGTTCTATGTATAACATAAAATTCAAACTGATTAAAATTTTAAAAAAATCAATTCAGGTTTCCGAACTGACCAATTCCATATCCTAATAATTATTACACATCTGTCAAACAAAAAAGCTGCAACTCTTTTTCAAATATATATATTTTTATCAATAACTGTTCATACATTTAGTCCGACTAGCAAAGATCAATTCCAAGGTATCCTAGAACGTCACAAACACAAGCAAAGCAGTCAGAAGCTCCCAGAATATCTTCAATGCAGCCAAAGATATCAGCAGCACT